GCTAGGGAGAGGAGAGCTGATATGGGAGGAGCTAGGGAGAGGTGGATAAGGGAGGAGCTAGGGTGAGGAGAGGTGGATATGGGAGGCGCTAGGGAGAGGTGGATGTGGGAGGAGCTAGGGAGAAGAGAGCTGATATGGGAGGAGCTAGGGAGAGGTGGATATGGGAGGAGCTAGGGAGAGGACAGGTGGATATGGGAGGAGCTAGGGAGAGGACAGGTGGATATGGGAGGAGCTAGGGAGAGGTGGATATGGGAGGAGCTAGGGAGAGGTGGATATGGGAGGAGCTAGGGAGAGGACAGGTGGATATGGGAGGAGCTAGGGAGAGGTGGATATGGGAGGAGCTAGGGAGAGGACAGGTGGATATGGGAGGAGCTAGGGAGAGGAGAGGTGCATGACTATAAGCCTGGTACTCGGGAGGCAGAACCAGGTGGATGTCTGTGAATTTAAGGATAGCCTGGTCTATATAGCAAGTTCCAGGCTGTGTAGTCTGAGGCCAGCCTGTGCTAGCTATATACATATATGGGTCTGGAGAGGTTTCTCAGTGGGAAACAGCACCCAGGCTGTTTTTGTAGAAGACCCAAGTTTGGTTCATAGTACCCATGTCAGGCTAACAGCTGTCCATAACTCCAGCTTAAGGGGCTCCACCTCCCCCTTCTGGACAATGTGGGGAAGTGCATGTGGGCACACAGAAGGGGACATACACTTATATACACAATTTAAAAATAACAAGAATAAACCTTTAAAAAGCAATCTGAGACTGGGTTGTAGCTCAGTGATAGACCAACTACCTAGATGTACAAGGCTCTGGGTTCAGTTCCTAACACTGGAAGTAAAACAGAACAAGAAGACACCCTAAAACCCCATCCACACGGGGAAACAGAACAAGAAGACACCCTAAACCCCATCCACATGGGGAAACAGAACAAGAAGACACCCTAAACCCGTCCACATGGGGAAACAGAACAAGAAGACGCCCTAAACCCCATCCACATGGGGTAACAGGCAGAGGAAACTTATCCCCCAACGACCTTTGACTCGGAGGCTACTACGAAGGAAGAGAACAGCGTCTGGAGAAGCAATGCTGGATGTATGATTCCCTGAACTCAGCCTCTGGTCTGACCTACAGCCATCTGGTTACAGCAGCCAGGCTAGCTGCAAGCCACATCCTGAAGCTGGTGGTGCCTTTATTCAGGGTTTGGAAATAAAATTAGTCTTCAGCTATCAGAGAAGATATTCTGCGCTAAATTAAGTGTCATTATTTTACTGCTGGGGACCCAGGCAGCACTGCTGGCCACAGAAACGACCATTAACATTTTTTTACCTACTCACTCCTCTGTGCCTCATCACGCTAGGCAGTCCGATGGGGAGAAAGGCTTAGTCTAGCCTTGAAGGGCTCAGGGCTTCCTTGTGGTTAGACGTGTTTTCTTGTACCTGTACATCTGCCCAGTTCTCCTGGCTAACACTCCCTAGGAGCTGTTCTACAAAGACCCCAAGGGTTAACACTGAAGAATCGCTGTCCCTTGTGTATGCCCTTTACCTCCGTGTTCCCACACAGAGCAGGGCTCAGGGAATGGGTTCTTTTTTCCCAGGAAGGAGACTGAGGCGCAAGGGGTTGAGTCATGTGACCTGACTCAGCTCACACAGCTTGAGATGGAGTAGGGCAGTGCCATGTTCTGAGCCCAAGCCTGGGCTTGAAGAATAACTCAAGGGAGAAGACGCAGGCGACTCTGGTGAACACTGGCTGATGTGCTCAAGGGCTACTGTGCCCTATCCTACTCTGGGCATCACCTGCAGCATCAGACTACTCTGGGGCTGCCATGGTAAGACCCGAAAGGCTGGAGCAAACTAAATTACGCCATGCAAACATCATCTCCCTCAACCTTTTAGCCTCAGAGCAGAAAACAATGCCAGATGGCCCCCAACACCGACTACCTGTCTCCATAACAACCGGTTGGGCACCACATCCCCTGGGAACCTGCAGGCAGCTGGCAGCTGCGGGAGGCCTGAGTGGGCTGTGGCACCTCCTGAGACTCTGAGGGCTTAAGTGTGCCAACCATTAAACATGACTGCATCCCTAACCTTTCTTACCCAGGCCTAGGGCCTGGCTTCCCTTCCTCAAAGCCATTAGCACAGAGACACAAACTATTTCCTA